ACACACACACAGACTCGGAGGAGCTGCGTTAGCTCTGGGTCTCTCTCCACCGTCCGTAGAGATTGTGTGAGCACAGAGTCTGACCTTCTGGTCAATGGAGACTTCCAACAGCATTTCCGTACTAACCATCTTCCCTGAGCGGGCAGTCCCAGTAGGCTGGAACAGTAAAACCAAGCCAGAGTTCACAAGAAGGTTAAATATTAACTGCTCATAGCACTCAGGGCCTGCCGGTCCCCACTGAAGCAGACGGCATGCCTCTGACTTTGCCGGGAATGGGGTCACGCGCCGTAACTACGCGTGTCTGACCAAGGGCATTGAAGAAAGTGGCTCTTGAGGTAAAAGAGTGTAAAAGACGATGTACACTACCTGCAACCGAAAACCAAAAATGACAACTTAGCATGCATTTGCAGCTGGTGCCTTGTATTAAAAAAACCCCAAAACACTCACAAAAACCAGCTACAACAAAAGTTCCCGAAACACCACAGCAGAAATACAACTTCGCTCTCACCTCCTTAGACTGGGAAATAGATTGCAAATTCTAATTTCTTCTGTCTGCCAAGTACCTTTCCAAAGCTCAACAAAGTTTCCCCCCACCGATCAAGTGTAATCCTAGAGACTATTTTCCTATTTCTTTTAGTTGCTAGAGTTTTAACATCAGATATTAAACCCCAACTTAGTATCTACCCAAATCTCTACATCCCACAGGCAATAAATTTAGTCCTTGATTTGCAGACTGCAACTAGGATTTCCTCAGCTCAATGTCCTACTCACTCACTCACAGCATCACCTGCTCTCTTTTACTGTCCTCTGGATCAAGCACTCGCCCCTACCTCTCTCTCCAAACACCATCCACAGGATGGGTTCAACTGTCTCAGTAGCCCGCCAGCTACCACACTCTGCATAGATGGGGGAAGGCAGGAAGAGCACCAAGATCAACCCACATCCCCCACGTCTGATGAGTACTGTAACCACCGAGCTAACACGGCAGCAGTCACGGCAGTGTCGCTAGCACCAGTGTGATTTTTAAATGAGGAATCCCTGCTTTATTATTTAAAAATAATCCATGAGGTTGGATTCCAACCATGAGAAGCAGGTTGTGAATCCCACAGCTTGTCTCTTACTGGCGTGGGTAAACCCTGGGAAGATGGAGTTTTTAATACAGACTTTCTTCCCATTTTTTTTCCACTGACTCCACAGGCAGATTTTAGTGGAGCCCCATCTGAGGTACGAAATATTCCC